TCTACTTTATCCTCCGTCATGTGCAGTTGAACTTGCAATTCTTCGACTTCTCGTTGCGTGGACTCCCGTTCCTTCCAAAGCTCCTCTATCTTTAAGTCAAGTTTCATTTTTTCCTCGTTAGCTCTCAACTTTGTTTCGTCCAACTTTGTTTTGAGACGCGTTAATTCGACGCGCAATTGATTCGTATTATTACGTTCTTGCTCGGCGCGCGCTGCGGCCTCTCTTTTAACACGTTCCAAAGTGTTCTTTTCTTCTTCTAATTCACGCATAATAGTGTCAATTTTTTCGATTAACGCCTGTTGGTCGTGATGAGCTATAACAAAATCAGATACATTTTAATATATTGATAATACGACAAAAAACATCATATTTACATACATATTATTGTGTTATATATATTAAAAGTATTGGTCTTATAAAGACAATTAAGACTTAATTAATTTATTTACACACCTATTAAAAGTGCTTGTTGTTTATCATTCTCAGCTCTAAGAAGCGCTTCCTCATGCTGCTTACACAAATTCTCTATGTGTTGCTGCAACTCCTATATTCGCTGTTGAAACTGATTAATTTCTTCATTTTTGTTTCCTTCCACTTGTAATAAAGACTGTTGTAACCATTTCTCTAAAGTTATTCTTACTTGTTCCTAAAGATAATGAAGAAAAATAGACAAAGAATGAACATATATATATAATATATTATAGAAATAACACAATGAATTAGACAAGAAAAGTTCAAATTCTGTGAATAATTGATTAAATACTTTTTCGTCGTTTATCTTCTTTATGTTATCTTCCGATTGTCTCTTCATGTTAGATATAATTTGTTGAAATTCTGCGATTTGATCGCCACTCTGTTGCGTAAGCGACTGTTTGATATCTTGCGCACGTTTTTCACTATTCTCCAATTCTTTCGTCAGTCGCGTCACCTGTCCCTTTAAGCTCTCCTGTTTTATTAATATCTCTTTCTGTTCTTTCTCTAACTGTGTCTTCTTGATATGTGTAGCTTCCAAATTGGTCTGTGTATTAAACAACACTCCTTCTAATATTTCTTTCTCGGTGCGCATTGAAGCAAGCTGCTCTTGCAGTCTTTGAAATTCCTTTTCATTTGTTTCAAAGAGTACCTGCACAAACAAAAGAATTGCTTTATTTTAATATGTAACACACACACACACACACACACAATAATGTGTATAACAAATTATATATTTATATAGATAATAATATATAGAAATTATAAATTTATATGTATAATATAATATTAACGCAATTGTAATCATTCTTGCCTGTTTCTCTTCATTATCTTTCACAAGATCTTTCAAGTTTTTGTTTATTCGTGCATTCATTTCGTTGGATTGTTCTAATCTTTGCCTAAGTCTCATGAGCTCCTCGTTCAACGTTTCCTTCTTTCGCGCCAACACCGATAATTGATTGCTTAAGTCCCCACCCAACCCTGCGAGATTACGGGTGGATTATAGGGCGTAGAGTCGCGCGGTGCGTGTGTCTGCGGATCGACACCCACCCAACCCTGCGAGATTACGGGTGGATTATAGGGCGTAGAGTCGCGCGGTGCGTGTGTCTGCGGATCGACACCCACCACCCTTAGAAAGTTAGATCAGGGTCGCTCGTGGTGGTTTTAGTCGGTAGGCTATGGGCGCGCGATGCCACGCTGAGGGAGGCTCAGGGGATTTCGGTTTTCTGAAGCGCCCCTCGTAACGGTGGTACGCGTGCGCGTAGAATCCGACACTCTCCCTCCCTTCCTCAGGGCGGGGGAGTCTTTCGAAGATTTCCACCACGTTAAAAAAAAAAAAAAAAAAAAAGGTAGAGAATAATTTTTAATTCCTTTTAGCAATTACATTTCTATTAAGCGAGAAAGGTCACGAAACATTTCGACTATTTTGCAACAACGTCGTAAAATTAATGCAATATGGCCGAAATGGCTTCTTAATTTTTCTTGCTTAATGGATGAAGTCACACTGCATTGCCACGAGTCTCAATGTGGCTCGAGACTCTTATCTGACCCGGAGGTGGTGGTGGATTTTGCGGCCGGAACAGCAGGAAAGAAAGTGGTGAGTGTAACTGATTTTTACGTACTATGTTACTTATGTCCAAAAATGTTCTATCTCTTCTGTCTTTACTTAATCGAATCGTTCATTTGAATATTTCAGAAAATAACGACGTAGAAGGTGACATCAGAGCAGCGAGGGAATCCTGCGAAGCTGATATCCCGAGCAGCCTGAGGGAAGGAGGAGGCCTAGGATAGGCATCGGGCATCGGCGTATCAACACTTCTGGTAAATGTTACTTTTTAATTTTTTCTAAAGATATTATAGAATCTCTCTTTTCGTTTGTGTTTATTCAGTTGCTACATTAAACCGTATTTTAAAATATAAATTAGTAAAAAAAAATAATTTGAAAAATTTGATTCAAGTTAATTCTGACGTAGAGACTTTTTTGCGAAGAAGTAATTTGAATGTGTATTAACCTGAATAACGAATAAAATGTTCAATGCGCGTGACAATTATTTAATCGATTCGATAATTTTTATGTTACAGAAAATATCAACGCGGAAAGAAGCATCAGCTTCGCATCGAGGGAACACGAGTGTCGCATCGAGGGAGCTGATAATCCGAGAGGATAGCCTGAGAGGAGGAGCAGGCCTTGGAGAGGCATCGGGCACCAGCGGAACAACTTTTCGGTAAATATTATTTATTTGTGTAAAAGCAACTTTTTTCCTGTTTATCCTTGAATCGCTTTATTTCACAATAATTTAGAAATAATAATTAGAAGAAAAGAAATAATTTAATATTGTAGAAATTTATCATTGTAAAGATCCTTTTCATAAAATGTTTCATTATTTAAATTAATATTTAATTAAATAATAAAAAGTTTGATGCACATAGGAATTATGTTTCAAAACATTAGGTTTTTTGAACACCATTTTAATATGAATTTTATGTTCGTATATTACAGATACAACGTAGCTACGTGGCAGGTGTAATTCCGCTGTTGCGCATCGGGGTCGGTGAGTGATAAATTAATGTCTAATTTATAACTATAATAGGTAATTTATAACTGGATTTTACCAGTTGAAATAATAATATGACGTAAGATCCCATATATATTTATTGCTATAAAATAGAAGATTTCTTTCTAGTTAATTATCTAAGTAATTATTTTAGAATCGAACAATTTTACATCATTTGAAAATAATTTTAAAATAACATATTATACAAAAAATAATTTTAATAATTAGCACAATACAAAGAGATATTTTTATCAATTCTAATTGTGTGAAAAATTTATTGTCTTTTCCGGATCTTGCGTCATTTATCTGAATTTTTCATCTCTGCATGCTTTTGAGATGAGATTTAATAACGAATCGTTCGAGTCGATGAATACACGTATATGGGCCTTAGATTCTATCGAATGGCGCGTCTAGCATTTTTCGCTTATTTAGAGTTTTAAATTATAAATAAAAGTTTTAAATTAAAGTTTGTTTATATTATAAAGTTAGTATTTAAAATAATATAAAGTTTAATATAAAGTTCATAATCATAATCGAATCTCTTCGAATTAAAACGTTCGACATAAAGATTTTTTTTAAATTCAAATTTGTTTTTTATTGGATATATATTTTAATTATTGAATATATATCTTAATTGCTACGAATAAACGCGCGCAAAGACTAAATGTGAAATTAATTCATGTTCTAAAGAAATTATTATTGTTATCGTTAATTTTTAATTTTATACTTAATTAATTTAATTAATATAATGGCCCCTTCGCGACGTGTTCGTTTTTCGCGGATCATACAAAAGCGTAAATTCTTACGCTTATTGCCGGCGATGATTAGCCGGCACCAGAAGGAGTATTTCTTCTTGTTATCGATCTCTGGCTATATGAGCCATGATACGGCCAGGTATTACAAAAGGTAAGTCTACTCTGGCCGGAAGAAAGAAGACGAAGAGGATTAAGGTAGGTTGGTGTACCACACCAATCAAGGTACAAAAAATATAGATAATGGTAAGCTTATATAAAGTTATTTTGTATATGTGCGATTGCACGTAATCAGAGACGGAAAGGTACCGTCTCGAATATCTATTTTGCGTAAATTAAACTTTCAATAAAACTTCTAAACGGTTCGAATTTAAAACTAAATTCGCGCGCGTTTTTCTAATTTTGCGTAACCGCGATCGTAACTATAGGTATACCAGATAAAGACACGGGTAGGTAGGAATATTATGCGTAAATAGGTAGAAATTTGGGTAAAAAATAGATAAAAAATCGGGTAGGTAGGAATACGAATAGGTAGGGTTGAGGGAGGGGTAATTCGATAATGAAAAAATAGGGACCTGGACAGTGTCGCATCGAGGGAATCCTACGAAGTTGACAGCCCGAGAGGAGGAGGAGGCCTAGGAGAGGCATCGGGCGCCGGCCGGACAACTTTGCGGTAAATATTATTACCTTTTTCAAATCGAACAGATACGTCGCGTTAGGCACCAGCTTAAATACGGCTTCGCGTGTCACGTCACGGCCGGAATGTAACGAGCACTTTTTCCGCCGTGCTTTTTGCACGTAGATGTTGACGAAGAGGAGGGCATACGGTCTGTCGCAATTTCGTGCCTAACTACCGGTATATTCCACCGGTATTAAATCACTCGCGCTCGTCGTAAAATATGTGCATCCAATTTGCGGTGCAACGCACGTCCCGCTGGCCCGCGATTCGAATACTTACGCGTGCATTTGATTAGGTTGATAGCGTAATTACCGGTTTTTCAAAAATCGATTTAGGCTCTATAGGGGATAATGTGTCCGTGGGGATTCTAAAGTTCTATCATTTATTATGCCATGTTCTGTGAATTTATATAAATAATTAGAATGAAAGATATGCGAAAATTGACGTAAAATATATTGCTATAGTTAAATGGCACGATCAAGAATGATCACAAAATACAGCATATAATATTTAACTAACGCAGGAGAAACTTGAATGAAATCAGCCAGACGCGCTGTCCTTTTTCAATAGCGTGATAAACAGAGGACGAGACCCTCGTTTCGTGTCGTAAGAATTTCAACTTGCCGCGAATAACTCGCATGCGAGAAGCAGCACTATACTTCGCGTCGCGACTCGCACGTTCGTCTTATCAGAATTACTACTCTGTTGCGCGGTACATCCTCCATAAATAAAATTAATACCACGCCGCGCGGACATCGCGCGTTTCCGTTGAGCGCGCGCGCCATTCATCCCCGCGGCCGGATCATCGAGCGCGAGGATATATCTCGTTCTGTGAATTATAATATTATTATGCAGATTTCAGTGTGCTGCGCCCCGGTAAATAGGCGTGGACGACGCGCGTATATACCGTCCGTCTTTCCCCTTTTCACCTATCGTCTCCGATCGGCATCACGGTGCGGCCGGAATCACGATTACCGTCGTCGGAAATCACACCCCTGGCCGCATCTGCGAAGGGAACGGGGGCGAGGCGTGAATGCAACTAATTGACGTTGCCGTCGTGCCGCAGTGGCTCGAGGGATAAAGAGCATGGCTTCGAAATGGCCGCGAAATTTCCATCTATAGCGCTCGTAAAATACAGGAATCGGGGGAACGGGGGGAGGGACGAGCGAGACGAAGACAGAGACAAGGGGATGGAGAACGAGGGGAGACGAGGGACGGTCCAGGGCCGCGGGAGACGTCCTGTCGCGGATGCAGGGGAAGGATGCATCGCAATTACGCAAATTGCGGCTCTGTTCTCGCCCGCTTCGGGCTTCACCGCCCGCGGAAAAGCGTCGTGACGGGCGGTGGGGCCCCCGATCGTCCTCTCCCGGTGGCGGAGGACGGCGCGGCGCGGCGTCCCGGAGAAGAGGCACCCGGGACGTTTACGTGCGTGCAGGCAACCGGTGCACGGTATGTTCCGCGGACGCGCTCGATTACCTTCGTTTCACTCCGCGGCGGTTTGAATGGATAGCATTGGACGCGCCGTGTCGTCGGATGCTGCGAGTGAACGGTCGAGCGGCGAACCCTTGTCGCCGTCGCCGTGGCTCATGACGGAACGAGGACGTTCGCCGGAGTAATTGGTAGAGCGTACCTCATTTTTTAGCGGTACTCGCGTGTCTTCATCGGCCGCGATAAAATTGCACGATTATATCAAGAGCTGCGAGCAAGAAGTGGTCGCGATAAAGAAGTGAAGTAAATTGCAATTACGTAGGAAGAATTTTTAGATTCTAGCGTGTAAATGATTAATTAAGATAACGTGCGATAATATCGAGTTATGAGAAAAATCTAAAGCTTTCTTGATAGCATTTTTGTGAAATGCAGATTTCTAAATTACAAAGGCACGTATAAGTTATGTATTTCTATGAATTTTTTATTCGACGTTTAA